ATGTGACCATTTGGGCTTTTTTTTGTTTTTTCAGCGTTTCCATTTTTGTGTCGTTGATTGTTGCTGACCATTTCGATGGCACATTATTAGATCTTTCTCATTCACTCTAGTTCTTCCTTTTTCCCTCCCATGTGGAGTTTTGTTCATGGTTTTTCAGATTTGTCATTGAATTCAGTTTTGACCTCTTTTTCAGTTTTACAAGTTTAACTATTCGATCTCCATTCTTCATCTCTTGTTGTTTTCTCATTATTATGCATTGATTTGTTGGTTCCAAACACTCGACACTTTGCTTGAAATCTGCAATTAATCGATGAGATTTTGAGCGTTCCCTCTGTTTCATCGGTTGCGGTGCCGGTTTCGAAAGCGCTGAACTGATCCGTGATCGATCGGTCCGCAATCTGTCGTTGTCATCATCGTCACCATCGTTGTCGTCGTCGTCGTCGAAAGTCTTGTCCACCTTTTGCCCACCACCACATCGTCTCCAGAATGACTGCACTGCTCCAGATGGGCATCTTCGGCGATTCGAGCTCGCCGTTTGATGAATACATCGACAAAGTTACTGCCGAACATCTGACCACTGAAAATTGGGCAATGATTCTTGACGTTTGTGACAAAGTGAACAGCGATCCACGTGCTCCGAAAAACGCGTTGCTATCAATTCGTAAGCGGTAAGTTCCATTTGATGGTTTATAGACTACAAGCTTTTTGTCTTTGAAATTTCTCGCTTGTTTTTTTGCCTGCCATTTTCAATGTTTATGGTACTACTCAAAAACATATTTGGGAAGTATCATGTGTTAACGACGAATTTAACCCTTTCCAGATAAGAGGAAATGCCTAATCCCGCTTTACCTTTGCTTGTTTTGCTTGCCTTTTCTCTGAAAGTCCTGGTGATTTTTGTGAAATAGCAATGATCTAATGCAAAAAGGGGTGGGGTCGGGGATCTTGACAGTTCATGATCACTTCTAAATGTAACTTCTCGAAATAAAAAATGGTGGATTATTTGGAAACTTTGAAGTACTAACTTTTTTATAATTATCAAGAGGTTTTTGAAGCATTGCTCCTTGTCTGTAATTTTGGAGAATGGATAATCGGAGTAACTGCGAATAAGAATAGATGCGTGTCGATCAGAGTTATCAGAGAATTGCGCGAATAATTTTAAATTATATTACAGGTGGGCGGCCTACCTATCCTATCTCTGCGAGTTACCTACAACAGATTCTCGGCTGTACTACAATACTCTCCATTCTTTTGCGACCGGTTGTCAGGTCGCATTAAGTGGAAACAGTATGTAGACAATCTAAGTATTAGGTTGTCGCAAAAGTCTTTGGCCACTTTTGTCGATTTTTTTCTCATTCACTTTCTTCTTAAAGCAACAGTTCAGGGAGGGTCCGAAAATTTCAATGCCACTACTACTGAGGGATACACGAGCCCTAGTGAAGAACATATGCAGTGGAAATAATAAACGAACTTACCTCAGAAACTCAAAAACAGGGTGGAAAGTCCCTCAAACATGGGTGTTCTTGGGGATTTCCCCAATCCCGCCCCCTTGCCGGCCGTCATTGGACGCGTCGGCAATCGTGCTCGTTTTGGGACCACAGGGAAAATTGATTGAAAAATGGAGCGCGTTTACAGCGGGCACGTTCAGACAACTCGTCCAACGTGCGTCTTTATCCATTGCTGAGCGGCAGAGGGAGAGTACCTGTCTAAGACCCTCCCCGACGTTTTTTTCCAGTTTTTCATACATTAATCGTCTGGTTTTCATCTACAACTTCATTATTGGTGGTTTTTTCCCGCGAAACCGTTCCTGAACTGTTGCTTTAAGCCAATGACAATTTAATAAAATTTGCCCGCAGCCTCAATCGTCGGACATGTTGTTTTTTTTGCAGGTAACACGTGGGGCGTTTGGCCTGGAAATACTGATTATTAAAACAAAACCCTGAAGAAGTCCTCTTCGAGTAGGTTCGGATCATTGATCATTTAGCTTTCCCTCTTTTGATTTGACAGCAATGGAAGCAGATGGTGGTCTGTTAGTGCCGGGCCTGCTGAACGCAACAGGTGGGACAGAACGTCCCATAACGGGCTTGGAGACTTTTGCTGAACCTTCTTCCAAATTCGTTGACAAGCGTTGCCTGGGTAAAGTAAACTTTTTCATGTTTCAAAAAGCATAGTGCCGGCGAACCCATCCATTTGCCCATATTATGGTTCAGCAATAGCAGTGCAGTTCTTTGATAGGAGCTGTCACTGAACGAATCGCTTGAAGCTTTACCAATTCTGAAAGTTACCTCCCAGGTTGCAGTGCTGGAATCGGCGCTGGAATCCTCGGATCTACGCGCCTGGGCCACTTGCGCTTCCGATTGCTGTCTACGTGAGGAACCCACTCTGATTACCACTAACAAAGTAGTCCGGTCAAAAGAGAGACAGACGTAAATCAAAATGTTCATGCAAAATCTGAAAGGCCTCTGACGGCGGTCGTCACCAATGTCGCGAAACCTCCTTTTTCCATATTTTCTCGTCTTTCTGAGGAGATATTGAGGAACAGCTATTGTGTTCTGAAAACTTCGAAAAAGCTGCGTCATTTTCCCGAGCATTGCTCCCGAGACTGTTTCCAAACAGCTCCAGAAGACACTCGTCATTCAGAGGAACAGGCCAAAAGAATTTGTGCATTTTTCTCGAGTTTCTATACTTCGGCAACCAAATGTTTACCATGTGGTGAAAGACATTCTGGGGTTCCATCGCAAGACGTGAGCTCTTGCCGCATACATTACATACATTTTGCAATAAATGTTCAAAAATTATCCCTGAAGATTTCACATCATGCATATCGAAATGGCCAAAGACTTTTTCGACAACCTAATAGTAAGTAAATAAATATCTAAATAAATGGTCAACAAGGTACTCAGAGGGCAGATACACGTACATACCACAGCCTATGGGATGTCTAGAATTTAGGTGGAAAACCAAAACCATAAACGGAGATTCGGCGGTTCATTGAAAAGTATTAGATAGAAATTGATAAAACTGGCTCCACTCCGAATATTTTGGCGATTATCTCGATCTATCCATTCCTTTCCGTCATACATCCAGATCGCTGGAAACGGTCAGAGAGCGGATTACATTCAATGGATCCATATCCAACCTTTCACCGGAATTCCGATTCGAAGAATCTTTAGACCAATACGTAACTATTTCCTTCAGCCGAATTGCCAAATCTCCAAGTCTTGGAGCGTGAACGGGCCCAAAGAGAGGCCCTGTCGGAATACCGATGATGCAAATACAACCTAATTTGGAAGGTTCTTTCCATGACTCGTTTTGGCGGAAAAAAGAAATTTATACTTCCACTACTAAATTGCCTTCTATGAAAAACATTTTATTTTTCAGATTAAATCATCGTGATCCTCATGTGGTGCTTCTGGCTCTCTCAGTATTGGATTCTTGCTGGAGTAACTGTGGACCAGCTTTTCGTAAAGAAGTTTCTTCTGCTAGTTTTATTAACGAATTGCAGGCGAAAGCCACGCATGTGAGTACTCCTGAAAATACTTCACTCATTTTTTATGGATGGACTTCGCCCGCGTAACGTCTGAAATACCCTCGGTTTAGCATTAAATTTGCGAGATGTTCTACGTTCACATTACTGCATCGTTATCAGTTTTGAGCTGCACTAGTGCCTGTTTCTGCTAGTTTTAATTAACACTGAGAATGATAATGCTTTAATTTTACTTACTTATTATGCAATTTAGAAAGCATGATCAGGGCTGGTGATGAGACATTTCTTAGCTTCGTTTCAACAGTCATGTCTGAAGTCTAATTGGAAATTTAATCGGAAATTTGTAATTATGATTCCTAAGTTCCTGAAAGTTCCAAGGGAGTTCATTTTTAATCTTGTTGTCTCAGAGTACTCGCCTTGTTGCGGAAAAGACAAGAATGATGATCCAGAAATGGGTGGAAAATGAGTGCAAATCTGAT